AAATATTCATTTGAAATATTAATTTAGTCTCATATTTTATTTTTCACTAAATTATTTAAAATATTTTTACCATTAAATCAATGCATGTAGAGCATAATCCTATTTTTCAAAAAAAACCTTCTATCTTCTATTCATCTACTTACTTATCTATATATCCTATTTTATCTATCTATATATCTACTGTTTATTATATATATATATCCTACACAACATATCATGTAATCCACAATAACTATTATTAAATAGTACATAATACTTTGAATTAAAAATATTTTTTCTTCTTTGTATTTATCTGTAATTTTGTGTTAAACAGTTCTGGAAAATGAAAACATGTTTATTCTGTGAATAAAAAATCAAAATCCGTACATAGTTTCTTCATAATATGCATTTCCATAAGCTTTTTGAGACTCCTCATATTTCTTGAAAATAATTGTCAATTTAATTTAAGAAGTATACAAAAATGACTAGAAGCATGTTTAAGAGTTTTTATGAGGCCGGCGCCGCAGCTCACTAGGCTAATCCTCTGCCTTGCGGCGCCGGCACACCGGGTTCTAGTCCCGGTCGGGGCGTCGGATTCTGTCCCGGTTGCCCCTCTTCCAGGCCAGCTCTCTGCTGTGGCCCAGGAAGGCAGTGGAGGATGGCCCAAGTGCTAGGGCCCTGCACCCCATGGGATACCAGGAGAAGCACCTGGCTCCTGCCTTTGGATCAGCGTGGTGCGCCGGCCGCGGCAGCCATTGGGGGGTGAACCAATGGCAAAGGAAGACCTCTCTCTCTCTCTCTCTCTCTCTCTCTCACTGTCCACTCTGCCTGTCAAAAAAAAAAAAAAGTTTTTATGATTATAGATGGTGAAATAGTTCTTTGTGCTTTAATATAACAATTTTGAACAATAATTTTAAATTTAAGCAGCCAAATATTTAATCTGCACATTTGCATACATTTAAGAATGTTGTGCAAACACATTTCTAAAATCTCATACGACATTTATCATCAGGTAGACAATATAGATGAGAGTACACTCAACAGCTGGCAGATAGATTTAAGAAAATCCTGAAATGTTTTTCACATTATAACATCTTAAAGCTAAAAAAATGGAAAATTATTTTAACTTTTGGAGACTCTGAAAGAAATAAAAGCTGTATATTCATATCATCATGGATTAGTTCAATATCACCTTTTATTAGATTTTAAAATAAAATCTAAACACATAAGCAGAGTATTGAAATTCATAGTTCATTCATAATACATATTTCCAACAACTTGTGAAAACAAAATCTTCTAGCACAAAAACACTTTTTGTCAAAAGAAACACACTTTTTTAAAAAAATTTTATTTAATAAATATAAATTTTGAAAGTTCAACTTTTGGATTATAACGGCTCCCCTCCATGACCTCCCTCCCACCCTCAACCATCCCATCTCCCACTCCTTCTCCCATTCCATTCTTCATCAAGATTCATTTTCAATTATCTTTATACATAGAAGATCAACTTGGTATATACTAAGTAAAGATTTCATCAGTTTGCACCCACACAGATACACAATGTATAAAGTACTGTTTGAGTAGTAGTTTTACCGTTAATTTGCATAATACAACATATTAAGGACAGAGATCCTACATGGGGAGCAAGTGTATAGTGACTCCCATTGTTGATGTAACAATTGACACTCTTATTTATGACGTGATTTTAAATGTACACCATTTTAACTAGAGTAGAAAACAGTGCTCAGAGAGACGAATTGGCCTTCTTTAAGCGGTTGTTACACTTAGCAAGTGAGGAAGTGTTGCTTCCCTCCCCTCCACCACCGAAGCTATAGACTCTACTTGCCATGGCAGAGCACCAATTGAATTCTTCATTTCTAATATTTCAGTTTAGTTTACTATCTCTGTCTACTGTGAGAATTTCTCATCTGTCTGCAGATGGTCTGGAGATGGGCATCTTACCTGATGGACGGGGAGGCTTGCAAGGCAGAGGGCAGATCCTCAGCCCCCTATGACTAAGGGAATCTGGCACCCTGTGATTATGGGGCATCTACATAGCCTGAGAGCAGTCTCTTGGCCCTAAGAGCCCAGACTCTGCAGATCTCTGAAACTCTAATGTGCTACAGTGCCCACCTATGGTATTATACCCCTTGATTCTTCAGTCTTTGACTTGATATATATTTTTTAAGATATTCTCAGTTGATAGATCTTCAAATATTCCTTCTGCAAATTCTATCATTTATTTCATTCTGAAATCTAATTTAAGCTTATCTAAATATTTTGATGCTGTCCCACAGAGTTTGATTGCTTTGTTCCTTTTCTCACCCTTTACATATTTCTTCTTCTGTTTGGGTAGCATTTTAAACTATCTCTGTGTTTCCTGTATTTTTCTTTAAGCATTGACTCCATGGAAGGGATATCTCAACTCTGATGCCCTGTTTTTCTTTACAGCATTTTTATTGAATTTTTGTACATTTTCAAGTCACACATGTTATGCATTATTCCTATTAATATCTTTATCACTTTAATTATAGCTCTTTTAAATTGATATCTTAAAATTCCAAAATTTTAGAAAAATTTCTGAATCTCATCTGTGACCAACTTTATTTCTGGACCAAGCATTGCTACCATTCTTTCCCTTATTCCTCAGGCACCTCTTTGCTTGAAAGCTGCTCCATTTTTTTATAGAATTTGGGAGCTAGTGATAAACAGTATTTATATCTGACAATGGATACATATCCTCTGGAGCAGTTAGTGTAGGCAAAATAGATAAGCTACTCAGGAGTTCATTTGGTTTGGGCTTATTTTTTTGCTATGCTCATCACAAAACAGAAGTTGAATTCTCTTTTTTTTAAAATATTTTTTATTTATTTATTTGACATGTAGAGTTACAGACAGTGAAAGAGAGAGACAGAAAGAAAGGTCTTCCTTCCATTGGTTCATTCCCCAAATGGCTGCAACTTCTGGAGCTACGCTGATCTGAAGCCAGGAGCCAGGTGCTTCCTCCTGGTCTCTGATTGGGAGCAGGGGCCCAAGATCTGGGGCCATCCTCCACTGCTATCCCAGGCTATAGCAGAGAGCTGGACTGGAAGAGGAGCAACCGGGACTAGAACCGGTGCCCATATGGGATGCCAGCACCGCAGGCAGAGGACTAACCTAGTGCACCACAGCGCTGGCCCCTCAGTTTATGCTGACTCTGCCATACTGGTAGAGGTTTTTCATGCTACACCTCAACCACCCATAATCTTTGTATTCATAAAACACAGAGAAACTTTCTTTAAGGGCTCTTGACCTTACATACTAGTAGAAGAAAGCAGTTGTTGCTTGCTCTTCAGTGCTTACTAAGCTCCTAGCAGAGAGTAGGCGTGGTTACTAATGCCTTGGATGTCATAGCTCTGCATATGCTAATTACCTGGCCTTGGTGGTGGGGTTTATTCTGTTCCTTCTTTCTTGTGTCAGACAGATGGCTCTATCCTTGTGTATGGCAGGCCTCCACAAGCTGTAGCAAGTAGTATTAGGAAAGTGTTATCAACCTGCATTGTGAAGTGAACCATGCTGATCTTCAGAGCTCAGAAGCTTTATTCTCCATCAAACACTAATTGGAACTATTAAGAAAAAGAATATTTAACTGAGATGCCAAAAAGTGGGGTGGGGGGCAGGGATCCAAATAGAGTTTCTTAGAAATCCCAAAGTGAGAATCACGAATCCATCAAGTAGGGATATTTCCACTGCTGATTGGTTACACTACCAAATAGTAATTCCCATTGAAAACAGAATTATTATTTGATCCAGCAATCCCACTATTCCACTTGTAACCAAAAGAATTGACTTCTGTGCATTGAAGAATCTTCTGCACTTGCATGTTTATTTCAGACAGTTCACAGTAATCAAGATATGGGGTCAACCTAAGCATCTCTTAATGAAAAAAAAAACACATTGTATATAGACATAATGCAATATTATTCAGCCATAAAATAGAATTAAAATCTGTCATTTGCAGCAGCATGGATAGAATCGGTATACCTTGTTTTTAGTGAAGTAAGTAACACACAGAAAGATGAGTACAAAACGTTCTTTTTTTTAAGATTTATTTATTTATTTGAAAGAGTTACACAGAGAGAGAGAGAGGCAGAGAGAGAGAGAGAGAGAGAGGTCTTCCATCCGATGGTTCACTCCCCAGTTGGCCACAATGGCCAGAGCTGCACCGTTCTGAGGTCAGGAGCCAGGAGCTTCTTCCGGGTCTCCACATGGGTGCAAGGGCCCAAGCACTTAGGCCATCTTCTACTGCTTTCCCAGGCCATAGCAGAGAGCTGGATTGGAAGAGGAGCAGCCAGGACTAGAATCTGTGCCCATATGGGATGCCGGCACTTCAGGCCAGGGCGTTAACTCGCTGCTCCACAGAGCCAGCGCCCTAAATGTCCTCACGTTTATATGGAAGCTAAAACATTGATCTTAAAGCAGAGACTAGAAGAGTGGTAACCAGAACCTGAGAAGCATGTAGCAGAGTGATGGTTAGAAGATGTTCGTTGGTACAGAGGTGCAACTGTTTATGAGGAATAACTTCTAATGTCCTATAGCAATTACTTGAAGATTTCAAGGTAGTTAGTAAAGATGATTTTGAATATACTCAATACAAAGAGGTAATAAATGTCTGAGTTGATAGACATGCTAATTACCCTTAGTGGATCATTAATATTGCAAATGTGTATTAATTATCATACTATTCCCAATAACCCTATATAATTACTCTCCATGTATCAGTCAAAAATAAAATTATGTTTAAATTTATTTAACGATTTTTAATATCTTACCAAATTCACTTCATATGGAGATATTATATACATACATAAATACAGTGTTTTTGCTTGAAAATGGGAAATTAATATCACATAATATGGGATTCATGTCAGTGATCACAATGTGAAGAGGGGCATTGTTATGTATATGATACAATCCAGTGGAGTAAATACTTATATGAATATGTATAGTAATAATAATATTCACATAGCTTTATGTTTATTAAAGTCCACATATGAGAAAAAGGTTGATATTAATCTTTCTGTGTCTGCCTTATTTCTCTTAGCATAATGATCTCCAGTTGCATTCATTTGGTTGAAATACCCAGAATTTCATTCTTTTTCATGCCTGAGTAATATATCATATTATATCCTGTATATATCATATATAGACACACATATATATTACATTTTCTTCATACAGAAATAAGTTAATTACATCTATGCTTATTCCATATATCTGTTAAGCATTGGGATGCAATAAACATGGGAGTGCAGGTATCTCTTTCCTTGTTGACTTCGTTACTGCAGGATATATTCCAAGAGGACGGATAGCTGAGTCAGTCTTTTGACGAACCTCCATACTGCGTTCCATAAAAGTTGTACTAATTATTGAAGAAATGCTTATTCTTCTCACAAATGTAACGAAAAGGTCTTGAACAATCAGCACTAGTAATATAGCGTGGCTTCAGGCACCCACATTTTTCATTCATCTTATAAGACTGATGGAAAGTCCTATATGAGAAAATATATTTTAGAATATCATTCTTTGGGCAAAATTTCATTGTCACAATTAAGTGTGTGTGTGACTATTAAGTGAACACAAAATCCCTCTGACAGATGTATAGGTGCTGAATCAGAAGGTATAAGTATTTCTAAAACTAAGGTACATTTCATGCTGCTATTTGATTGGAGATGAGGACGAGATGGAAAGGACACAGTGGACAGGATTTAGATGGGCACATTCCGGAAATTCTTTTGAGATTTGTGAAACTCACGGGAGTTACTAATAAAGTAAGGTTATTATGACGCATTATAATTAGATACAGTGACAGCTCCAGTGTCCTGTGACTCAGATTGATGGGCAGGTAGCAGGAGGTCCCAGCACCTTCCTCACCTTCAGCACTAGGAGCTGGTTGGCATTTCACACACAAGGTGACCTTACTCCCTCTGAGCTCCTGTCTTGTCAACCAAACAGAGCATTAGTATTTTGTGAAGCTGAACAACGAGAATATTCAACATGGATTCTAAGTTATAGGACTATGCTATGATATATGGAAAAAGTGTATGATATGAATTTTCCACCAGATACATGAGTCCAATAATAATAATTTCAACTTACAAAATTATTATTGGCAAGAAATCACCATTTAACAACTGGACATTACTTCAGTTGTGCTGTTCTTAGTTATCCCACTACTCTTCCCTGGTTTCTTCCTTTCTATCTTACCACTTTTCTTAGGAACCTTTTGCAATCATCCTCATCACCACAACATCTTAAATGTTTGGGCTTCCCAGGGATCGGGTCCTGGATATGCCATCAATCAAAACCCCCACAACAGGGGCTGGCCTTGTAGCACAGTGAATAAAGCTGCTGCTTGAGATGCCAACAACCCATATGAGCTCTGGTTCAATTCATGGCTGCTCCACCTCCAATTCAGCTCCTGTCAATGTGCTGGGAAACCAACAGAAGATAGCCCAAGTCCTGGGACACCCGCCACCCACATGGGACACCTGGATGAAGCTCCTGACTCCTATCTTTGGCCTGGCCCATCCCTGGCTGTTGTGGCTATTTGGGGAGTTAACTAGGAGATGGAGGATCTCTCTCTCTCTCTAACTTTGACTTTCAAATAAAATAAAGCATAAAGAGGCCCTCAGAATATCATCTCCTAGTGTTAACACCCCTGCATACACTGACACACACTAAGTACACATCAGCAGCACAAAACTTTTACACGAACTTCATAATTATGTACCAACATGTCTATGTGACATGCCCACAGAAATCTATAATGGATGTATCAAACTTGTAACTAAAACTAATACCTGATGTTCCTTATAACAGTTAATGACAGCTCTAGTCTCATGATTGCTGGACTAAAACATGGCACCAGCTCTGACTTCTCTTTCTCTCACACATTTTCACAGTAGGTCTGGCATCTGGGCCCGTTTCCCCAGCACCCTCCCTACCTGTCCTGACAAAACCACAACCATCTCTCACTTGGTTGACCACAACTGGCTTTCAGTGTGACTCCCTTAATTGTAATGTGTATTGCCCATTCACCAACTAAGGACCACACAGTGTGCAGGGGACTCTTTAAAATAGGAAGCTTGTTCTTGTCATCCCCTGGCTCAAAAACCTCCAAAAGTGTATCCCTGCACTCAGGAAGCAGCCAAAGTCTTGCCGTGGTCTCTCATTCCTAGATGATCTCATCCATGTCATCTCTCTGACCTACTTCTCCTTCCTTACTCAGATTCCTCCAGCATCACATATCCTCCTGCTGTTTTCATGAGCAAACCAAATGCTCTCCCCCCTCTCTAGACCAGTAGGTCTTCTTCCCAGGATGCTACCCCATCAGAGAGCTCCCTTATCTTTCTCATTAACCTCCTTTAAATCATTATACCAACACCATTATCGCATTGAGATCACCTGTGTCTCCCCTATTGAAAACATAAAATCTGTTCCTTCCACTCCCCACACACAAACTGTACTCCCTGACCCAGCAGGGACTGAATAGTGCTCATGGCACTGAGGATCCTCTAGTACACTAAGTGATTTCCCCACCTCATTTAGTTGCATCCTGAAATCCCTGGTGCCTTTGCAGCAGTTTTATTTACTCATTTTTGAAAAAACGATGTCATTTTAGTACTATGAGTTACCAATAATTTTGTGAACATCTGAAATTTAATGGCATGAAAAATATTAGTCTGCAGAATACAGATTTAAGATCTTAATGATTTTTTGGAAATTAATCTACTTCAGTCTTAACAGACACCAGGTGTACAGCTACAAACTGCATTTAAAGGGAGAACTGGGTTTAGATACAAGTTCTCATCCCTCTCTTCCAACCTCTCTGGCAAATAAAGCATATGTCACATAAAAGAACAATGTTAATTAATTATGTTTGGAAGGACTCTCCATTAGCACAATGGAAAAATAATGCCTTTTGGGGCTGATTATTTAGGGCTCTGAGATTTTTATTTGTCATCTAATTTGTCATTGAGATGTGAGATTATGTGGGGAGCAACCCGGACTGGACTGAGTTACTGGAATTAAGACTTATTCTATGCATCTGCTCTCCCACAATATGGCGCTGGGAGAGGAGAAAACAGCTTCTACGCAGCTGCCTCTTGCCAACTTGAGTGATGACCTCCAGGAGCTGATCCTGCTCCTGATTGGAGGAGAGCAGCGTACTCGGCGTGTGGGCAGCCGAGTTGGGATTGGCGGAAGAGGACTATAAAGGAGGAGAGAGACAACATGCACCAGGAACATCTAAGGGGAACATCTATCTGAAGGAACACCTGTGCAGCCCCCGAGAGAGCCGGCCGGCGGTGTGCCACTCCCCCGCAGAAGTGGGGAATGTGGCAGGGGGAACCGCCCTTCCACGGAGGTGGAAGGGACAGTAGCTAACCCGGGAAGAACCAGCAGCAAACCCGGGGAGGGCCGAGCAGACGAAAGAACAGCGCAGGGTCCTGTGTCGTTCCTCCACGAAGACGGGGAGCGACAAGATTATATAGAATTAAGGACATTTTTAAAGTCTTTAAGAATCATTACCTGGTGTTAGCCTATAATCCATGCTTCAACTGCTAGAAAAAAACATAACTGAATGCATAGAAGGTGAAATGCAAACTTACAGGTTCTGAGCAAGTTTTGTGCTGTCCTGCCACATCCACTCATGTTTATCTCCTTTTTTATAGAGTCCAATCCAGTAAGTGTATTTGATTTGTGATTGCATGAAAATCTGTGCATAAATTAGAATAACTAATATTACTCATTACATCAATAATAGCTTTTTATCTACTAAGGACTTATACAAAATACTAATCATTTCACTTAAGACAATCCTTGCTCATTTGCTGTGCAGACAATCAATGGAAGTGAAAGACCTAAAAGTCTGAATCTCCTGAATCTTTGTGGCTTGAAAGATACCAAGAAAGGGCCATGGTGGACTTTTTAGAAAGACACAAAAATCTCCAAGCATAGTAATAAAAAAGAGAGGTAGGTATGGATGCGCTCAATCTAGAACTTCTCTTCATCAAGAACATAGGAAGTAAAGTTTCAAATCTAGAAATATAGTAATGTAGTTCTAAGAAGTAATGAAGTAGCTGGGGCCGGAGCAGTAGGCTCAGCAGGTTAACACCCTGGCCTGAAGCCCAGCATCACATATGGGCGCCAGTCAAGACCAGGCTTCTCCACTTTCGATCCAGCTCTCTATAATGGCCTGGGAAAGCAGTAGAAGATGGCCCGAGTCCATGGCCCCCTACACCCTTGTGGGAGACCAGGAAGAAGCTCCAGGCTCCTGGCTCCGGATCGGTGCAGTTCTGGCCGTTGCAGCCATCTGGGCAGTGAACCAGTGGATGGAAGATCTCTCTCTCTCTCTCTGCCTCTCCTCTCTCTGTATAACTCTGACTTTCCAATAAATAAATAAAACTTAAAAAAAAGAGAAAAAATAATTTCATTTAAAAAAGAAGGAATGGAGTAGTTTGTATAAATCAATTAGAAAACAAAATCATCCAAAAGAAAAAAATGAAGAAAAATCAAGAGTGGATGTTTCATAGAAAATACATATGAACAATAAACATTCAAGGATATCATTTCACTAGAGATCAAGTAAAGACAAACAAGGCTACAAGGTAATACTTTACAGAGAGTGAACACAAGTTTTTAGGATGGTAGGAATCAATAGAATATCTTCAAAACTATCAGTAAAAACATATTGAAAAATATTGTGGAATTATTTTGTAAAACTGGAATCACCCAATAATTGCACTCATACAGTGGTTTGTGATGAACTGCAGAGGAGACACATGAAAGGCGTGCACAGCTGACGTGTCTAAGGATGGTTAATGAAGAGCTGCTCATCACAACAGCAGTGGAAACAACCCAAATTCCCATCACCTAGAGAATGTTAAGTAACGTCTCTCCATGTGATACCACGAATATCATACAGCTATGGAAATCAGAACTCTAGCCACAAATTTTAAAGCAGATTATGTAATTAACTTACTATGAGAGCAAAGGCAAACAAACTCAACTCCTTGAGTTTCTTCCTTGTCTAAAATATGGGAATGGCATTACCTATGTGGAAGTTTTTATGCACTGAAATAATGCATACAAGGATCTGACATACTGTAAACCTAACGTTAGTGTATATTTTTGTAATTATTTCAGTATATTTTATTCCTTTTAACTGCTTTCCTTTGGTACTCAAATGTTAAACAAAAATTTGATTTTATTACCTAAATGCAATTTACTCTCTCCATTTCTCTTTTCTCTCTTGTTCTCTGTCCCAAACACACACTCCATTATTTTTCCACTTTAGTTAAATTTTATAAGTACATTATAATGTTTTTTGACATCTATGAAAGGTATAGAGATATTATAGAGGAAGGTTTAAAATATACTTTATTGTTCTAGGGATAGGAAGAATCACTAAAATTAAGTGCCAACTAATTTACTCATTCAGGTGTTTTTCTTACATTTCACAAATTGTAAAGACACAAATAGTAAGGACTAAATCTAATTCCATGGCACACACAACAAGCCACCTCTGCTACTATAGAAAGTGAAATTATTTAGGTCCCTTAAAGCTTGTCATTTCCTCTACAAATACAAGTGTTTCCACCCTATAGTCAAAAAAGACTCAAGGAAAGCCTACACAGGCAGCCTAACTCAGTCTTCGCAAGCTTCTCATAAAGGTTAACTAAGTGAACATACCAGTTCCTGGATGTCATCAATCTTCACAAGGCTAGAATTCATGTTCTGGCATAAATTCCTGCTCTCATCCCACGTTACCTCTTCTTTAGAAAAATAGTACCAGTTTCTTGTCCAGCAAAAGGGTCTTCCTTGCAAGGAGCCACAGGCTGTTTCTTCAAAACAAAAGCCACCCCATCCCAAAACACCAGGCCATTTAGAAAATAAGATTTTAGGTATTTAATTATTCTTTAAAAGGAACTAGCATAAAATAAGTTTTTTTCTGTACCTAAACATCTTTTGAAACTCGAATACTTAGTTAAATATAATTTTAAAAATAGACTTAGTGAGGAGAGTAAAATTAATACTCCTAGTAAGATCCAATATCTACTTTTTAAAGTTTATATATTGAAATGGGCAGAAGGCAGTAAGTCTATGAAAAATAACCTGTCGGCGATTAACTTAAATATTGAGTACAAACCTATACCAGATGGCAACACTGAATGATCTTCGAGCTGTAGTGAGGAAGTATTTTTTTCTTTTATGTTTCCCATATCTTGTGTTGTGCATTTAGGACACTTCTGAAAAACTTCAATCCACATTACAAAATTAACATCACAAATGCCTTTAATAGATCACTTAATTATGATCATATCCTATAATTCTAGATATGAAAGAATATGATGATGACTACATGGGAATACAATCATAGAAAACGTAAGGTTAAAATATTTTGAAGTGTCAGGCATAAAATAGATTTTTATATATAACTACAATTATTTGTAATTTGAAATCTATGATTTCTAAGTCACATAAAACAGTAGTGGTCATTTCATAAAATAGAAAACAGCAAAATTAAAAACTTGAGCTATATTTTATGCCATCTTTGAATGATTTCTCAGCATGTGACTCCATTTAGCATTTACACTTTGACATAAATGATCTGCCTGTACGTATAATGAATGCATAAAATATACCCCGCATAATGAGTTCATGTAGCAGTTTCTAATGTGCAAAATGTGGAGGATAACCCAGGTCCTTGGGCCCTGCACCCGCATGGGAGACCAGGAGGAAGCAATGGCTCCTGGTTCAGATCAGCGCTGTGCGCTGGCCACAACGCACCGGCCTTAGCAGCTATTTCTGAGGTGAACCAACAGAAAAAGGAAAACCTTTCTTTCTGTCTCTCTCTCTGTCTCTCTCTCTCTCACTGTTTAACTCTGCATGTAAAAAAAAATCTATTAGAGAAACAGCAGTTTATTCCATTAAGTTGAAAATAAAAATGTAAAATAAAAAGCATATTGTTCTGTTTTTTTAGCGTGCCTGTTTTCCATATCAGGCACCTAGGTTTGCTTCCTCACTCCAGTTCCTGATTCCGGCTTCCTGTTAATGGAGATGCTGGGAGGCAGTGGTGATGGCTCAAAGTGAATGGGTCGCTGACACCCACATGAGCATTTGCATTTCTGTCCCACTTCTGTGACCCAGCCCAGTCCCCGCTGTTGCAGGCTTTAAACTTTTGATAACGAGCAGGTGGGATCTCTCTTTCTTCCTCCATCCCTCCCTCGAATAAATAATTTGAAAAAAATCACTCAAGTGTTTGTTACACATCAGAATCTTTTCATTTCCATAAACCCCTAAGCACTAACATTAAATTTCATATCTGGTTGTAAAAATCTAGCAATATCAAATACATAGTCCCTTCATGTCCCCTTCACAATAAGCTGTAACTCTTCCTCCAGTTCAGCAATCTATTACAGTGTCCGTATTCTAGACCACAACTAAAAAGAAAAAAAAAGACTTCTTATTTTTAAAAACCACCATTTCTTGGGCTACTCGATTTCCTTCTCTTTTTCTTTTTGCCCATCCACATCCACACAGGTGCACATACTCACACATATATCCTAACCGTATGCTTGCCAGCAGGAGCAGAGCACAGATGATGCCCAGGATTACTGTGCATAGGTTTTCTGTAAAAAAAAAAAATTAAAAATGGGAGTAGATAATGAGCTTGTTAAACAGATAAGAACCTAAGCAGAATGAATATTTATGCTGGAATTTAGCATTAAAATCACATATTTATTCTGATCAAAAATCTCATGGATATATACATAAATGAATCTCCCAGTATATAAAACAATTAAAGAACTAGACATTCCATATAGAATAGATATGGCTTTTAAATATGTTAATTTTTTTCTACCTGACATTATGTTCTCAGAAATCAGAAAACAAGAAAAGTTACCTCTTTTTTTGTGAGCTAGATGTCTTTTGCCTTCCTTTTTCTTTGCCTGACACAATTTCAGTTCTGGGTATGTCACTTTCTCCTCAGTCATTTCTAAGAGCTTCAGGCTAAAACACAGAAAGGACCAGAGATGTTTCACGAGACATAATAGATTCATGAATAACGGGAAGAGCTACAGGAATGATATACACTCGGGCCTGTAGAAAGTGAACTATGATCACAGTAATTCTGGAAATCACAGAAAAGATTTTTAATAAAATTTATCCTATTTATCTGAAAGGCATAGATTTCCAGAGAGAGAGAGAGAGATGGAGAGAAAGTTAGAAAGAGAATTTCTCTCCACTGGTTCACTCCCCAGATGGCTGGGTGGTAGGGGCTGGGCCAGGCTGAAACCAGGAACCAGGAGCTCCATCAGGTTTCCCACATGGGTAGCTGAGGTCCAGACTCTTGGCTCATCTTGTGCTGTCATCTCAGGCACATTAGCAGGGAGCTGGATCTGAAGCAGAGCAGCAGGGCACAAACGAGCACTTTGATATGGGAACTGGCATGGCAGGTGATGACTCAACCCATCCCATCACAATGCTGGCCAGGAAAAAGTGATTTAAATTCCTTTTTGTGATATTTTGGAAGAGAGATCCTATTTAGTTTATGGACATACTGTTTAAACTTTTAAACTGTTTTAAAGTAACTTAATTAGTTGCAAAATTTGGGACTGGATATAATTTGTACATAAATATCCAGATTTATACCTTCTCTTGAAAAATTAACTTGATACTCAGTACATGTATTAGAACCAGATGATCAGCACAATATGACAGAGGCACCACTTACATGAGACACACACACACACACACACACACATCCACACACACACACTAATTCAATGAACACTCCATGTTGCTGAATCATCTTCTCTCACACTCCAGCACTCATTTATCTCATCATCCTGATAGTCACTGACCTTCATGGATATGACCTTAGAGTTGAGAAAATGAAGAAATGATGGGATTCAAGGTAGGGGCATATGAAAATATCATTAACTGAGATAAGCATCACTTGTAATTCTAACAGCAAGTCTACACAAAGCTGAGATCTTCAAATTATAAATGAGAAACAAACATTCCCAATAATAAAACAAATCTTATCTCCATGGGCCTGTGCCATTGTACAGTGCGTTAATCCTCCATCTGGGGCACCAGCATTCTATATGGGCACCCCTTCTAGTCCTGGCTGCTCCTCTTCCTAGTCCAGGTCTCTGCTGTGGCCTGGAAAAGCAGTAGAAGTTGGCCCAAGATCTTGGGCCCCTGCTCCTGCATGGGAGACTGGTAAGAAGCTCCTGGTTTCTGGCCTCGGATCACACAGCTCCAGCCATTGCGACCATCTGGGGAGTGAACCATTGGCTAGAAGACTTCTCTCTGTCTCTCCCTCTCACTGTCTGTAACTCTACCTCTAAATACATAAATAAAATATTTTTAAAAATCTTAACTCAAGGTCATATATTTTCTGAAATAACTGATTTTTGTGCTATTATTTTTGTCTTATACCTATATACATAAATATCAACAAAATGAACTGGTAAATATTAGACTAGATTTCTATTGATAGAAAATAATCATATTAACAAAAGTTTCAAAATTTATCACAAGTGACATCATGCTAAGGTAATTTAAAGTTTGGGTTACTCATTGCTAGCCAGAAAAATAGCATCCATTGTGATGAGAAATAAAAGTACATATATAATGTCTTATAAATGGAAATAAATATACCACAAAACAAGCGACAATTTTAAAAAATTGCACATCTGACTGTTTAATTTTTTTGATAAATTCTCATTCTGATCCACTCCTGCCCTCTCCTCTAGAATAAAGGTAACTTTAGATGTTAACATGGATCATAATTTAACCCCACCTTTCCACACATCTCTCCGGACCAAGAGCTACTCTATTCCTCTGCCATCAACAGGGTGAGAGGCGACATGGAGATGGACGCACACACCCACAGTAGCTGCTGTCTGTGTCTGTACCTTGGGATGTCCCCAGCTGGAGCACAGGCTTGGTCAGGAGCAGGCGAGCACGTCCCGGCTCTGCTGGCTTCACCTCTGCTGTGAGACCAGGCGGGTCCTGATGTGTGAGACCGTCCCTCACAGAGACCTTGTGTGAAGGTGCAGACGATCACATGACACTGATATTCCCACACAGAAAGTTACCAGTGGTGTCAGTGTCTCACTCCCTTCCCCCCCGCCCATGTGTCAGAAAGGCCATCAAGAATAAAATGAAGTTGTATGGCCATTTAAAATCTAACTACAGCAATTACTATAGAGCTTGGAAAATGAAAAAAAAAAAAACAGGCATGAGATTAGGGAACAGTTAACAACAACATTTCTAAACCTGTAAAATATGAAAAGAGAAACACCCATATCCTTCTTAGCCTGAGTTCTCCAATTTCCCTTTTATAGAATATGGAAAATCTGCAACTGTTATATAACTGGTAAACATAGAGAAATGTCATATATGCACAAACATTGGCATGTTTCTTCAAAAGCCACCCTAAGAATAACCAGACTGATTATTTTACAGTAAATGTAAATGTATACAATCCTGGGTGTACTGATTTGAAAACAACAATTTTTCCACATGTATTCTCTTCAACTTATCTGAAGAAACAGATTCTCTTTAAATAAGGAAGAGACAGCTCTAGCAACTGAAAGACTGAACATGTTGCGTGGGCTTAAATATAGCTCTTTTTAAAGCATCAAAGTCAAAGTCTTCTGGTCCACTAATTACAGCCATAGCTGTCAAAATTCAAAAGCTATTTTTTAATCCACTGAGCAGCCCTATGCCCTAATTAACCCTAGAAGTAGGTGCTACTTTGTAAAAAAGGCAATTGTTTTCTTCAGATCCAACACATGGATCTTCACACCTAATAAGCTCTCAATGTTCTCACACTTTTAATTCTCAAGAAAGTGAGTAACATCAGCTGAAATCCATGTCTGTATCAGCTTCCTCCTTTATTTATGTTGAAGGTATTTTCCTGTGTCTTGAAATTCCTTCCCTCATCAGTCCCTTTAAATTAACAGCAACAAAGGTAGATTCTCTACCTTTTTTTTTTTTTTTTTTTTTGATTTGCTTTTGGCTTCCTCTATTTTTCTACTTAGGAACTCTCTTCAGGAGGTAGGTCTCTGATATAAACAAATGTATTAAGGAAGTTTTTTTTTTTTAATACTCAAGGCAACCAAGCTTTCTCATTTTTTTTTCTTAAAGGCAACCATTAGTTTTTAGGCATGCCCAGGAACTATATGATCTTCCAGGCTCACAGATAATTATTATTCTGTACAGCTAACGTATATCTCTAATATAACAACTATTATTCATAGGCTAATTATGTTTTCAGCAAACCTCTCACCTGTCATTAAAACACCCACACACCTTTACACCCAAAAATACCAATCTATTTTAAGCACCTCTCAGAATATTTTCTTTACTTCTTTTCTACATGAAATTTATATACTCTTTAAGGTCCACTGAAGTACCATTGTGGGTCATTATGAAATACCAGGTTAACCTAGCTGGTATCACAATTCCAAAAAAGAAAAAAAAAAAACAACATTATATTGAATCATGAAGCATTGGTAACGTAGTAGAAGCCAAGATATAATTCGAGATGAAATGAATGTCTTGGTACATAAACTAAGAACAGGAGAACTGCTCATGGAAACATTGCAGCAGAATAGTTTAAGTATATGAACCTGGAATGCATACAGTTTTGAAATAATTTTTAAAAAACAAAGATCCAGGAGAAAATGTTTTTAATTTTTAAATTACTTCTTATAAACCTCTATTTCCATGTATTTTTAATTTACAGTTGGTAAAAAATTAAATATGTGTGAGAAATTATTTGCTCAATAGTCTGTTATGTTACAATGTAAAGATAAGGACAAATTGCTTAATTAGGAAATAAATAAGAATCTGTGTGAACAAGGATTAAAAAATGGGAGGACATGGTCTGCTTCATTTCTGACACTAAGAGTATTTACATGAAATTTTTGCTCAGTAACTAATATATCAGTATAATCAGTCTAATTGGGATCATTTTTACAGTTTTGTCATTGGTGTCTGAAATTTTGGGCTTTTGTTTCCTTCTTCTCATCACTTTTTACTTTGCTTCTACAGTATCATAAAAGTGTCAGCAGAAGCAGAGCCATAGTGAAAAGTCAGATGCTTCCTCATACCCACAACTGCTCATGCTGTTTTCCCAGACTTCCCATCTCAAGTATACAGTTATGGAATTATAGTGTGTTGAGTTTGGTTGCTATACAGGAAATGTCAAAATAACTCTTACGGTTTCTAGCAATCATTTGAATGCCATTTTGGCAAAAGTGACAATGCAAAAAAAAAAAAAAAAGAGCTTTCTGAAATGTTTAATTTTCCAGAGATTTAAAAAGATATTCAGTGTATTATTTGCTAGGTAGCATCAAAAGTAAGTGAACACGGCTAGGAAATGAAGGAGACATGGTGTGTAAATGCATTGTGGGAACTGCGATTGGGTCCTGGAGCCAAGAGACATCCATGGAGAAATGAATGAGACCTGATCAAGTCTGACACGTAATTAATGGTCACAGACCAACAGGGGCCTCCTGGATTTGACAAATGTACGATGTATCATTGTATGGTAATGCGGGATGATTACATGAGGGTAAGCAAGCTGAGCAGAGTATTTAACCTCTCTGTATTATCTCTGACACTTTTCTATAAATCTAAAATTTCCTCAAAATTAAAAGTTGCTTCTTAAAGGAAGTATAGTAATAACATCATATCACTTTCCATGATCTCTTTAAGCACACTTCTATACATGGAATGTGTCAGTACAGAGAAAGTGTTGTAAGCCTTCAAAGAGCTGTTATCTGAGAATTTTTGACTCAAAAAACTGAGCAGGTTAAGAATGAGGGTTGGCTTTGTGCCACAACAGATAAAAATGCTGCCCGTGATTCCAGCATCCCATGTAGCTACTAGTTCGTGTCTCAGTGGCTCCACTTTTGGTCCAGCTCCCTAATGGCCTGGGAAAAGCAAAAGAAGGTGTCCAAGTCTTTGGAACTCTACCACCTATGTGGGAGACCCGGATGAAGCTCCTGGCTCCTGGTTTCAGCCTAGCCCAGCCCTGGTAATTATTGCCACCTGGGGAATGAACCAGCAGATAGAACACCTCTCTCTTTGCTCCATTCTCTGTAACTGACTTTTCTTTTTTGTTGCTTTTTAAGAGAAGGCAAAAATATATTTAATTATATAATTTAACACAGTAGTTTGCTCTAAAAATAGAGAATTCTGGAGCTATTGTTAGCACATCGTATAGTAAGCCATTTTTATCTCGTACTTGCACTTTCTCATTTCATACCTAAACCTGCTCTACACACACACACACACACACACACTGCAGGAAGTGCTGATCTTGTTTTTACTCCCATCTCCATGCTTCATGGTCACTAAGTTGGCTAACTTGTTTTCTGCTAGCAACTAAGAAAAAGCTCTTTTACCCAATAAAGCTTCTTTTATTACCTAGAAACCTTTTATTGAAAGTATACAGACTCCATGTATTTCATACATACAAATTTAGGAACAGTCATTCTTCCCACCCTTCCGTGCCTCCCACTGGCACTCCCATCCTTCTTCCTCTGTCCTCTTGTATTCCCCATCTTATTTTTGCCTAAGATCTATTTTCAATTAACTTTATACACATAATCTTACCCTAAGTAACGTGTTCAACAAATAATACCAAAAAAAAAAAAAAACACAACTGTTCCTCAACAGTTGACATAAGGGCCATTCAAAGTCATCACATCTCAAAGTGTCAAGTTCACTTCTATAGATTACATCTTCAGTACTCTATTAGTTACCATAGATCAAGGAGAGCATATGGGATAGCCTTTTTGGGACTGCTTATTTACTAAGTATGATGTTTCCAGTTGCATTCATTTTGTTGCAAATGACAGGATTTCTTTTTTTCACTGCGTAGTTTTCCAAGGTGTACATATCCACAATTTCTTTATCCAGTTTTTGTTTGATGGACATCTGGATTGCTTCCACATCTTAGCTATTGTGAATTGGACTGCAATAAACATAGGTACAGATAATTTTCATATGCTGATTTCATTTCATTTGGATAAATTTCCAGAAATGGGATGACTGGGTCATATGATGTCTATGTTAAGATTTCGGAGGTATCTCTATACTGTCTCACACTGTGGCTATTCCAGTATACATTCCCACCAACAATGGATTAGGGTACTTTTTCCCCCACATCTTACGAGCATGTTGTTTGTTGATTTCTGTAGGAGAGCCATTTTAACTGGGGTGAGGCAAAACCTCACTGGGGCTTTGATTTGCATTTCCCTGATGGCTAGTGATCCTGATCACTTTTTCATACGTCTGTTGACTATTTGTACTTCCTATTTTGAAAAAGGTCTGTTCAAGTTCTTTGTCTATCTTAGCTAGACTGTTAGTTATTGTTGAGTTTCTTGAGCGCTTTATAGATTCTGGATATTAATACTTTATCAGTTGCATAGTTTGCAAATATTTTCTCCCATTCTGTCGACTGTCTCTTCTCTGTGCTGAGTGATTCTTTTGCAGAGCAGAAGCACCTCAATTTGATGTAATCCCATTTCTCAATTGTGGCTTTGAATACCTGTGCTTCTCTGGTCTTTTCGAAGAAGCTTTTGGCTATGCCAATGTCTTGCAGAGTTTCCCCAATTTCTCTAGTAATTTGATGGTATTGGGTCACAGATTTAGGTCTTTGATTCATTTTGTGTGGATTTTTCTGTGAGATGTAAGACAGGGGTCCTACTTCGTACTTCTGCATGTGGAGATCCAGTTTTCCTAGCACCATTTGTTGAAGAGACTGTTATTGCTCAAAGGTATGATTTCTAGCTCCTTTGTCAAAGAAAGTTGGTTGTAGAAGTGTGGATTGATTTCTGGAGATTCTATTCTGTTCCATTGTTCTATCCACCTGTTTTTTTTGTAGGAGTACCAGACTGTTTTGATTATACCTGCCCTGTAGTATGTCTTGAAATGTGGTATTGAATGCCTGCAGCTTTCATCTCTGTTGTATACGAATGCTTTAGCTGTTTAGAGTTTCCATATGTATTTTAACATAATTTTTTCTAGATCT